TCATTTTTTATAAAATTTTGAATTTTTTGAAAAATGTCTGTATACATTGTAACTTTCGCAAATTTTGAGATATTGGATTAAATTTTTTTACATGAATAGATTATTATTAAAGGATGGTTGGTACTGAATTTAGTGAGTATCGGTGAAAGGGATCATTTTTTATAAAATTTTGAATTTTTTGAAAAATGTCTGTATACATTGTAACTTTCGCAAATTTTGAGATATTGGATTAAATTTTTTTACATGAATAGATTATTATTAAAGGATGGTTGGTACTGAATTTAGTGAGTATCGGTGAAAGGGATCATTTTTTATAAAATTTTGAATTTTTTGAGAAATGTCTGTACACGCTGTAACTTTTAGAAAATTTGAGATATCTCACAAAGCTTCCTCTATGAGGAAGCAAACATTGAAAAATCCGCATGCTTAAAGCAGCTGAAGCTTTGTAAAATAAAATGATGAGGAAGCAATGTGCAAGTTTCTAAATTGCACAACTCTACTTGTTTTTTTTTCTTCCCGCACGCGTTCAAATTCATTTTTATTTTCTTTTTTCTCCTTCAAAGTTCAAATAATTCTGTTATTTATCGCTTACAATTTTCACGTGGTTTACGGAACTTGTACAATGTGTTTGTAAAATGACAGCGTGAGTTGATTTACAATAATACTTAAGAAAGGTAAAATATTGAAAGATTCTTTCGCGTAATATTGTAATGCGAGAAATGCGATTAATAATAAGCTTCCCACGTGCACTTCTATTTTTCCTCAAACGAGCAAAGCAGCTAATTTCATCTCCGATATTTCACGTCGATGTCTCTCATCCCTAAAGAGAAGAGTAATATCTTCAAATATAAATAGCTGTCTTTTTGAATTATACCGCGAGAAGTCGCACAGTAGAGAGCACCACGTTACTGATTGTTAGAGTAAATGATCTCCTTTCCGATGTAAATCGAGAGGCTCGTTAAACGAGTGGCCTTTACCTTTCACGCTGGTGCTGGCAGCTTTATTTACATTTTATTCGAACACAGGCGGCGACAGACATCGCGTGGAGGGTGCCGGCTCGAAACACGAAGAGGATCACCACGACACGCACGGTCACAAAGGCGACAAGGTATAACGCTCTTCGTTCTCCCGACGGCTATTGACGTCCAGACCGTTGTCATCGACGTCGTCGACGATTTCTTCCTTTTTTTTTTATCGTCCGTAATATAAGTGCTCCCCTTTCTCTTTCCCGCGCTATTTCTCGGGAATATTTATTACACGGTCGTTTTTGTACGAATATCGCTCCCGAGGAACGAAACGAAGCCTCTCGGTATATTCCGCGCGCAACTATTAAAGTATCTTACCTCTTTGTGTCGGCATGAAATGTCCCCCGATAGCGCTTTATGTTTCTGCGAATCTCTCTCATTATCATTATCCTGAAAATGAGCGAGGATTTCATTTCTTTGTGTCGAAATTGACGTTCTAATAATGTCGCGTTCTTGTCGCTTTTTCATGAAACGAAGAGTTCAGCTTTGTGTATCCCGTAAGATAAATGTCTCCCATTTTTCTCACCTGTTATTATCGGATCGATTCTTAACAGCAATCCATAATGCACAATTCTTCGTTTATATAGAAAAAGGTTATATAACTTTTCAATAAGATATGTTTCGATCGGGGGGGTGAAAAAAAGGGTTACAAGGCTTTCCACGAGTTTGAGAACAGCGATAAGGGCCATCACGATAAAGAGAAGCACAAGCACGAGTATGATGAGGAGAATGGTGAAGAGGAGAAGAAGCACGAAGAGGCTGGTCATTTCGGTGAGGAGCATCAAGGCGAGGAGGGCGAGAAGAACGCGAAATTCGGCGAAGACGGAAAACACCAGAAGGGATACAGTACGAAAGGAGAACACAGCGTCTTCAAGAAGGTATTGATCACGCAATTGCATGCCGTTTCTCGTCATTCTACAAAATTAATTTCTTTCTAATAATATGATAAACACTCGCGCATTGTAATTTAAAAGACGCGGTTTTCTCTATCGAAAAATGCGGTAAATATTTTTGTAGACACTAAACCTTTTCAAGATTACAAGATCAAGCATACATAAGGCTTCTGTTATTGTTATTACGATCCTCTGGGCTTCTACGCATGTGATGGTCTTATATATGTGATATAATCTCGTATCTGATATAATATAATTTCAATTCTTTAAATTACGCACATGTTAATAAATCGTTTTTGAAATTGTGTCGACCTCATTAAGATGCGATCGGCGCCATTTTTCTATCGATATTACGATAACATTGTAATAAAATTGATGTTTTTTTTTAACACTTTATTGTAAATATAAATTTTATTTAGAGATATGCTGTTTTGTAGAAAAAAAATAATATTTATTTCTATTTATATTTCAATGATAACGTTTATAAGAAAGTTAAATTTTGTTTAATATATTTTTCTTTTAATTTTTTGGATTAATATATAAATAGTCGCTTTTCAAAGGACGAGTATGAGAAGAAACATGATTTTTATGACGAATATCATGAAGACGGAGGAAATGAAAAGCATGGTGGTTGGCATGAAGAACATGAGGGCCAGAAGGGTGGCCATAAAAAGCAAGGCAATCTGCATGCAGGACATCACGAAGTAATTATCAAATAATTAAAATAATTTTCTTCATCACTAAAACGCTTATGTTTGTCAAATCGGCTTGTTCTAAAATCACGATTTTGTTCTTGATTTCAGGGACATCATGGCGCGGAGAAGAAACACGAGGGAGGCCACCATCATCACGAGAAGAAAGGTCACAAATCGGCCGAGGGACACGAGAACCATCATGAGCACAACGAGAGACATGGCCACAAAGGCGGTCATGCATCAGGGCACAAATTTTCGAAATCAAATCATCGTTGACGAGACGACACATAACTTATCCTTATATAATCGTCGAACGTATTTCGCTTATATCTATTTTAATAAAAATTTCGTTGTCAAATCGAGACTGCACGTTTGGAATAATATTGAGTGGCGTATAACAGATGCGTCAAACTTATCAAAAATTATTATAATAACAATTTTATTCTTGTCATCAAAGATGTAAGACATGAATTTGCCTACATGGGGATTTTATAGTTATATTATAATAAATAAGTTGTATTTTTTTTAAATATTTTTAAATATAACGCATATAAATCTAAGTGAAAATGTCTTCGCGATAAATGTAACTGTCTATCTAGAGAATGCGAGAATGTACAGTTGAACGAGTTTCGAATGTAACGCTGTCATTTATTTTACTGCGGCGATCGTTGGGAAAAGTGAAAATATTAGAAAAGAGCGTAAAATCGGTCGCGCTTCGATGGGCGTTAGTATTGTGCACAAATAAAACTCGTACATTCTAACGCAGATGTATGGCATCGAGGCGACCTTGCGAGTCTTCCTCTTCTTTAACGATACGAAACTATAATTTCTATTTTATGATATGTCAAAAAAATATCTTTACATGCAATTGTAATATTATTTTAATTAAAAACTGAAAAATCATTTTCTTGCATATTTGTAATAGTGCTTATCATAAGCACTAAATAGCATCTAAACAAATTACTGGATGTATTCTGGAAGAAAATCTTTTAATCCTAATTTAATGGACAAACACACACACACATACATAAGCTTCTGTGAGATTATTTTTTACATGGAAAATTCAATCTCGATTAAAGTCAAAGGAGAGTAATTAACGGAAAAATTACTAACAATAAATTAAATAGATAACTATACATAAGTGAAGTGATTAATAAGAATTATTAACCGAGTTTATCGCAATTATATAACATGTTTAGCGATTTATGGAATGCAAAATGATGATAGTTTTGTATATAAGTCTTTGTAATAAGATAAAATAATTATATAATTATTATAAAAATGTATATTTCTGTGTTACAAGATTTACATTCTCTAAAGATATAACATTATTTTTATCGTGTGAATTATTGTCGCTATAAATTTTCACATTAAATATGCGTTATTGATTCACATAATGGGTGGTGTTTCCGTAATTAATATACAGCAGTATTGACGTAGAGGAGTATGTATAGTATATAATCCTGCTGTAAGATTGGTATATTACCGAGGGGATTGATCACAAAGCGCGATTGTGCTTGATGACTCCATTTTCTGGTGAATTTAACCGACGATCAAACTTACTCTGGCAATCGATTTTGTGTGTGCAGTCGATCTGCTGGTTACACGCAGTAATTGGTTTGGCGCTTACTCTTAACGCTTATGCAATTTACCTGGAGCTCTTGATGCAATTATACCTTAATTGTAAGTTGATTGCAATTCCATGATTACATGATAAACAACGGAATATTATTAACAAAATCAATATATGTAAAGTTTGAATATATCATAATTATTTAAAAAAATTTTCTTATGCAGATACAATAACACATTCGCATAATGTTATTAAAAGTTTATTTATTACGTAGATTGCTAGAAAACAATTCTAATTCTATCTAAATATATTATAAGATGCCTACAGCGAAAAAGTTAAAATAAAACTCTGTATATAAGACGGACATCGTGTTGCAGCCTCAAAGAAAGAAAAAAAGAAAAAAAGAAAAAAAAAAACGGTTTAGAAAGACTACAAGAAATAAAAAAGGAATAAACTTGTTAGGTTTGTGTGTTATTTCTATTATTATTATCACGAGAGAGAATTTCAGATTCGCAACATCAGAAGGAAAATAAAGCGTTTCATCCGGTGGTACGCTTTTCCGAGATTCTTGCGCCTTTTTCCGCCAATTTTACGATGTCACATGTTAACAAGAACGTACGTGAAGAAATGTTGCGTATAATGAAGTCAATATTTGTCCGTCATAGCGAATACCGCTGGGACAATGAGCCTCGTGAAAATTGTACTGCGAGATTGTTAAAAACGACGTTTGCCTACGCAGGATCCGTGGTGGGTGGGAAAAAAAGTTGGAATCGTTTTATGCTCGTGACGTAGGTCCATGAATTCTGCTCTCCGTTCCTCGGCAAGCCAAGCGAGAAAATAACCGTGCGATTCCCTGGTTACGTACCGATGTATCATCGATTCATATGATTCTATACAGAGTACCTCAGATCTAACGGATTATCTTTCATCAATAGACTCTTTGATTAATTAGAAATTAATTTTTCCTTAGCGAAAATATCAAGAAAGATCATCATTCGTAACAAATTTCCTATTTTCAGCATTAAATATCCTCGTAATTAATTCTCATCTTGTTAAAGTAAAATTTACTTGAAATTAGATGAGAGAAATAAGATTTCGCTATCCATTTGCAGTTTGATTTTCCAAAAATCCTCCTCTTCTTCATTTATACTCACTTAATAATTTAACTATTTGTCGTTTAACATTTTTGTTGAGAAAAATTAATTGTACATTAATCAAAGAGAGAATTTATAGATAGATAATAATCTATTAAATTCTTAAAATTCTGTAATAGATTAATAATTAACGATATCAGTTTATAAATAAAAAATTAGATTTATTAAAAATATAATTTTTTCGATAATTTTTCCGATATTTCGAAATGTCACTGCCTTTTCAAATCAAATTTACTGAGGTTGCGAAAGCTTATATCGAGGCAACGGTTTACATAACAAATTCTCTTCAATTACGTCTTTTAATTAAGACACAGTCTGGGTTTGTCGAATCTTTGACGCGGTATACAAGTAACGTAAATTGTCCTATTTAGGCTTGAATGCACGTAAAGTTCGACGTAATAATCGCGTGAAAAATCGAGCCACGAAACTTCTTTTCACTTTGACTGACATAATCAATCTCAATTTTGCCTAACTGAACGAAATTCTAGTTACATTTAAGATCGCAGCTGCTGTCTTGAAATTCTTTTAATAAAATGATTCTAAAATTGACTTAAAAAGATAATATTAGAGGATAAATGAAGGAAATGTGATAGATAAATTTTAGATTATAGAAAAAAACATACGAATACATATGTGTATATATAAAAATATATGAAAATTACATTTCAAAAATTTTTAAAAATTTATTAGAGCATTGCAAAGAGAGAAAAATAGAGAGAGAGAGAGAGAGAGGGGGGGAGAGGGAGAGAGAGAGAGAAAGAAAGAGAAAGAGAAGAATATGAAGACAAATCAGTTCCGTCGTCAGTTATGTCGGTCCAAAATAATGACTTGTGGTTCATTCTTTCAATCATATACAATCACCGCTCTAGCGGAATTGTAATTTGCTCCATTCAATTCTTTTTGAAGTAATAATCTACGACGGCTAAAACCGCAGGAGATCGTGTGTGACTTTATCATGATGCGCATCGTGTTCCGGGTGCAAAGATGCATTATTAATCTGGAGCCGGATTACGAAGAATCAGCATTACGACTATGCAGAAATGTAAAATTTACACGATGACGTTGCGATAAATGGATTTGTCAGTGGCAACTGTTTGATTTCCGTTGATCAATATTGCAAATAATTTGCAACAGAGCTGCATTCCACGCAAGCGCCGGACGTTACGCTTTTTTCGTATGACAAATCGACTAACGTAAGCGCAAAATTGCATATATAAGTGCCAATGTGTAGCAACCGCCCGCATAGATATATAAAAATGGCACGAAAGAAATCGTATAAAAATAAAATCTCTCATCGAGAGAATCGCGATATAGCATGGATATATATTTTGCATACCTGCGGATACATTTTCCGCGTGTTACGATACTTGATCGTGTAAAAAGCGCAACGCGTTGCGCAAGGCACGTTAATAATGACACTAAATAATGAAAGACCGGGATGTGCTTTCAGATCGGCTTCGGCCGAGCGACGATAATCTTGTGCAACCGACAGAGAAAGGAGGAAGCCGAATTCAAGAAACGGATCAATCGCAGGGCCGATTGTCGACAGTTCCTTCGACACTTCAAGATATCTAATCGCTGTAAAACTGTCATATCATTCGCGAACGGTTCTTCTGATAGAGGAAACGACTCGATATAATTGCCCGGTCGCGTCAACATCGCAGTTCAGTCTTTGTCGCGGATTCGACGAATCATGGAAACCTGCCGGAAATCGATAGCCACGGTGCTACTATTGTTGATTTACTTGGTAATATGTCGATAATAATTTTTAAGATTTTTAGAAAAGCCCTTAATGATAAAAACATTGATATAAGGATAAAAAAAATATAAAAATAATTAATGCGGGTTTAATTAATTATTGTAGTAGCGTATATTGTGTTATTGTGTAATAATATATGTACGCTTTACCACAAGAATAATCAAAAATAAATAATCCGCAGTAAATGTGCAAACGAGAGGGCTGCCAGCAGCAAAGGGTGGGCGCGTGTTTATGTCAACTTTTAATTAATGCGCTGAAGCGACGGGGAATCTAGTGGTGTGTGGTAGTGCCCGATATCGTAAAATATTATTGGGATCTTGTCCGAATTGACATCAATCTAATTAATATGCGTGACATATTTAGCAACAATAAATTTTATTGCATTTATGAGAGAATAATTATCGCTCTTACCGCGTGATTAAATATATGAAATAATGAAAGAAGCCATATCGTATTGTCAATTTTCCAAATGAATAAAATTTGATTGATGCTTTACAATGCTCCCTCGTAAAATAATGCTTGCACAATACAAACTTAATTATATATTTATAATATCAAAATCGACGCTACAATATCGATGTTTGCAGCTAACGTTACGAATCGGTGACGCAGTCGCCGGACGCAACAACACAAGAGTCGAAAATAATCCCAAAATTATTCTGGAAGAACTGATTATCAGCGGGAGCGGCAATGACACTCGCGTAACAGCGGACGCGGTGGCGGAAGATGCTTCGATGATCGGTGATCAGATACTCTCGCTTCTATCTAAGCGCGAGATACGGCGAAGCGGACGTTCGAAGCAGATGTCGTCAAATTCGGATCAGGACACGGCACAATCGCGCACTGTGATCGTCGACGTGAACGATGAGGACAATTTGGAAAGACTGAAGCACGTGATCGCGAAATACGAGCCGCAGAGGATCACATCAAGAAAAACCAAGAGGAAAATCGTCAACGGTGCTCATGGTAAATAGAACGAGATTACTTTTTTTTTTCCCGACAAAAATAAGGACATTTTATATATATCGAAGAGACGATTAGTTTTCTATATATAATATTTGTTCTTCAGATGTACTACACGCCAAGGCCGCAGGGTCAACAACGGATCTCGAGAGGGCTTATGACGAAGTGCTGCGAAACATATCGCGAAGGGCGCCCGAATTGACATCTAGCAACGTTGCGACATTGAATCCTTATTTGTCCCAGACGAGGAAGAATCTGAGAAAAATTTACATTCCAGAAGCAACGATTCTACCTGCAAAAGACGACAAAACGCAAAAATCAGGTCCCGATGCTGACTCTTCGTATACGTCGCCCACTCTAAAAGAAAAGAAGACTAAGAAATTACTTAAAAAGTATTTGCAACTAAATCGCACCGTTACACTTCCTCAGAGTTCACCGATCGAAGAGTCAAGACTTAACAAAGAAATTGCTGACGAATCAAGCACGCCTGGAAGATATTTTGAACTTCCCAATGGAAAGACGAAACCAAAAAATGAATCACTGTCCATCGAACCATCATCAAATATTTATTCCGAATTGACGGAAGAGCCTGAAAACCGTCGCGAATGGAACATTCAAGACTCTTCGGTTCAAACTATATCTCCATTTATCCCACAATCGAACAATAATAATTCATACAACGCTTTCAATGTAAATAACTTGAACTTTCCAAGTGATACAAATACCGTTCAGTTACTGTCAAAGTATAACAGAATACCGAGGCCATTCTCCGTATTGCGATCGCCCGATTCACCTGTCATCGAGATACCGTACGGGAAACCGAGCCCCTCACCAGCGAGTGTCAATCGTCAACAGGTTGTCCGTTCCTCCGCAAGCGTTCTTCCGCTGATTCTTCCAACGGAGACTCTTTTCAATACGCCTTCGGCACATCGTTACGTCGCGAAAAATCACCTCAAACCTGAAGGAGATTCTACAACACTCGTCAACACAGAGGCGAGTCCGCCGACGAGTCCCGCGAGCGAGAGAACCACCTTTGCAGATTACGATGTATCTTATACAGATATAATCAGCACCACGACGAGTCCTCTGGTCACCATCAACGATCAGCGAAGGATATCCTCGTCGGATTATTATGCCATTACGGAGACTCCTGCGGAGCAGATTGCTACGAGAACGGACTCCGCTAGGCTGATTCATATTCCAAGTCAAACATCCGCCTCATACACTGTTCAGCAAGAGAAGAATCCGCAAGCCGTACGCAGAGATGGATTTCTACCTAGGATTACCGCCTATAATAATCCCAAGGACGAAAAATCGAATTTAAACGCGAATGCCGGACTCGCGTTGTACAATAAATTCGCGAGCGTGTACTCAACTAACGAACCTAATGTATTTAATGTACCGAGAGCAGTCACGCAAAATTATCAAAACTTCAGGCAACCGGTGCAATCTTTGCACGCGGTAACCTCGCAACAAGTTTCTACTCCTCTTTACGCAACTTTGAAACCTATTTCTACCCCATTGCTGAAAAACGGACCGATTGCTTCCGCTAAACCTGCACTCGCTCCGTATTATAATAGCGGATTATTCGTTTCGCAAAGAAAAGAAGGAAAAAAGCTTAATGACAATAAAATAAACGCAGAAAATGTCGAAATAAACGAATCTCGTGCCGCAGATGCGGACAAAAGTAACACGGAAGCTGCTGATAATGAGAACAATTTTGGAAATCATAAAACTCAGATCAATGACGGAGCTTACAAGAGTTACAAGACGTCGAATGAACAACGCGACAAGGAGGATCGCGAAGAGGAAGACAGAGAAGATCGTTATCAACAGCCGAAACGCAATTATGGCTATCAGGATAAATATCATGAATATGATAAAGATAATAAAGACGATAAAAATGATGATAAACGCGAAAAATACAACGTTCGACATAAAGATGAAGAAGAAGATGCCGATGAAACGCAAGAGGACGAATATGTCAATACTGAAAAAGATGAAGACCAGCCTAATCATGGTGATCGTTATCAATATAATAAACATAAATATGATAGAGATGACTCTGAAGAAGAGGACAAACAACGTTACGATCGTAAGAAATATGATAAAGAAAATAATCGTCGCGATGAACACGATCATGAGACTGACGTTAAACACAAATTTCTAAGTACCAATAAATACTTTGACGGCCCACAATATAGCGATTACGAATCTCGCGAACCCGATGAAAAATATCGCGAACGTTACGATCGAAAGAAACTACCTCGTGATAAGAAAAATCGGGATGAAGATTCCGAAGATGAGACCTTTGCCGAAGACAAACTGATTGCTCGACGCTCTAAAGATGAACTTGCTCGCAGACAACGCGAAGAATACAAGAAGAAACAAAGTAAGGATGATAAAACGACGCAAAAGCGTAAGTACCATCGTCATCAGCAGGCTACCCCTCGAAGAGATTCACATCACGAAGAGCACAAGCATGAGGAATACGACGAAACTAATCCTAAGCACGTTCGCGAGGAATATCGTCATCTTCGACAGCACGTCAAAGATGATAATCGTAGACACGATAGTGAAAACGACAACGAGAAAACTCATGATCACGAGCACGGCGAGACTCAGGAACACGCGCATAAACATGAGGAGCATCATGAAAAGAAGAAAGATGGGGGAGATCACGAATTCGAGGAAGGCGGAGGCGCGGAGCATAAAGAAGAACATCACGGACACGATGGAGAAAAGGGACACAAAGTAAATTATTCTGATATCGCATTTTTTTATTGCATTATCGAATTTATACCTAGTTTTGCCAATTCTGCTAATAATAAATTTCTTTAATGTTTACAGGGTTATAAAGTCTGGCACGAGCATGAGAAGGCTGAAAAGGGGCATCACGACAAAGAACATGCCAGCAAGGAGTACGACGAGAAAGATGGCGAGGAGAAGAAGCATGAGGAGGAGGGCGGATTTCACAAAGAGCATCATCGCGGTGAAGCTGGTAAGAAGTCAGCAGAGTTTGGCGAGAAGGGTGAACACAAAAAAGGGCACAGTACGCATGGCAAGCATTCGGTGCACAAAAAGGTAACGTAAAGAAGACAAAAAAATTAAATTTTTAATAAAATAAAATTCTTTTATATTATATGACGAGGTATATTTTATTATTATATACTAATTTATAGGACGAATACGAGAAGAAGACAGAGTTCTTTGATGAATTCCACGAGGATGGCGGCGTGGAGAAGCACGGCGAACATAATCACGAGCACGAGTCGAAGAAGGGCGGTCACGAGAAGAAGGGCCATCACGATGCCGCCGATCATGAGCAGAAATACGGCAAGGAGGAGAAACACGAGAAGGGAGGTCATCATCACGAGCATAAGGGCCATAAAATCGACGAGGGTCACGATCATCATCACGATCACGATGAGAAGTACGGCAAGAAGGAGGGGCACGAGCATGGGAAAAAGTGGAGTTTCAAGAAAGGCGACAACGGTGGTCACGCAGGTGGCGGTCATAATCGTTGAGGAGGACCTTAATAATAATAATGAACAGATGGTGGTTTTGCAATTAACGTGATTGTTAGCGTTCTCGTGATCTCTGATATTGTGGAACGGATCAGTGTCGTGTGTGTCCGAATTATCGTTGACATCGATCACGTTTAATCGAAACGTTACGTATTACACTTTAGAGAGGGAGACACGTCGCGTGTATGATATCTTGTCGTTACCTATATTGATCATCTAATAATTGAGATATGGTATATATTGTACATGGCGCTTTTAGCTCTTACATCGTTATCTATATAGTTTCAGTTAAACAGGAGCGAGAGGGATGATTGAAGAAACATCGGAGCGAATGCTAACTGAGGCGAAAGTAACTGATTGACCTTTGCGAGTTGAGTTTTCTGGAAACCCGGGAAACTCGTACAAGATAAAATTAGTTAAGATAAAATTTTGTTTTTCCAATTTACTTTCGTATCCTTCGAGTGTCTCTCACGCATGATTGATACTAAACCTAAGATAAAAATATGAACATTATAATTAAAGAATTACTCTATAACATAAATGATCATTAATGATAATGATGATATTATAGATCATTAATGATGATATTATATTATAAAGATCATTAATGATGGTATTCTATATATGATGGCGTTTGATATATTTTTTGTTGTCATCATATTTCTCGATATTACTTATAATATTCTTGTATCAGTATAAAACATGTGCAATCTATTAAAAATTACAATTTTTAATACTGTTATAAAAAACTTCTTAGACTTCAATTTCTAATTTTTTGGCATTATTTTACAGATATTTTGCTCCTTGAGATGATGCTCCGACAATGAGATATTCAATGAATTCGCGTTTATTATCGATTACTTCCAATTAGAAAGTAATATAATTAATTAAGAAAGTAATACTTCACTATTGTACACAATTGAAGATGCCGATGATCAACTTCGCTGAAAATGCAATTTTCTCACTTCTGTTAATCCTTTATTTTCTTTCTTACGTTTCTGCCATAAACGCGAGAGTGGCCTCGTTTTATGTTATGTTAAAAGAATTAAAATTCACGTAGGGATACGGAAGGTTGTAGAACAGTGCCATTCTCTTTAGCGTCCCGACGAGAGGAAACATTGAAGAATTCCTCTCTCCGAATGTCTGTAAAAACTCTCCAAAAGAGACATTTAACGAGAACGATCGTATAATTAATCGCACGAGAGATATATTCTCGTTCTCGATCTCCTTATCCATCGTCCTGTCGCGCTGATAACACGCTCTTCGTCTCTTCTCTGTCTCCGAGTGCAAGTATCGATCGGTCGCGTGGCATTCAACACGGAATCGGGAGGAATTTCAGAGAGAGAGAGAGAGAGAGAGAGAGAGAATCGCGCGGATGCGAACGACAGACGATTTACGACTCATACTTTATTAAAGACGCTATCAGTCTCTCTAACAATCGCGATGGAGGATCTGGAGTTAAAGAGCAAGAGTTAATTTCGAAGCATTGCTAATGATCGAGATATCGGCCGGCAATCTTGCATCGGTGACATTGACGGTTATCCAGTGTTTAAATCCACGTGGGAATCGACCGGCGGTTTCAAACCGTGTCCATTATCAGATCGCGGGGCGTACGCTTTTACAAGGTAGATGACGAGACCGAACTATGCGAAGTGCGCGGCGGCCCCTTTTTTCTCCTCTTTATCGCATTATACATTGCACTATACAGCGGCACTTTCCATATAGAACGCGGAATGTATCGAATTATCGATTGTATCCGCGTGATAAAGGACGATGCATCCCATATAATGTCGCAGTTTAAATTCTTGAAGGGTAAAAATACGATGGCAAATACGTGAAAAAAGCACGTTTCTAAAATCGCGTCGCATTCCTGGCGAATCTCAATTCTTGGCATTGCTCGTCGCAAAAGTTATTCTCATCTATATATCTTTGCTTTTAATGTAATAATTTTGAGAGAATAATGTCAGGGATTCTTGAAGAAAGGGAGACGTGAAAATTTAAAGTAGATTCTCTCTTTTTTTCGTGTTATTATATTAGATGCTTTCCAAGTCAATATGCACCTATATCTTGCATATTTATGTAAAATCTATCTTATAGCTCATGTATCTTTATTCTCTTCTAAATCAATAGTTCCACACGGAAAAAAAAAATTTCGCTACCATAGCTAATCATGGTTTGCAAAATAAATTTCTAAACTGCAGCAAAACGGTTTGCTGTTGCACCTAATAAATAGGTATCACAGCTAAGATGTTCGCTGACCATATATTACAACTGAAATCTAGTTACCATACGCAGTTTTTAGCTACGGCAGCTAAATTTTTTTTTCCGTGCATGAACCAATTTTTATCCAAAACACATTCGTTCTGACGTAACAATTAAATTCACTTTTTATCACTTTTCAATAGAAATATATAATGTAATGTAAATACAGATGATATTTTCCTTGACGTAATCATGTATGAATATCTTTTAATTTTATTAGACTCGCGTGATATCACATGGAATCTCTCTATTCATAATGTTAATAAAGCTTATAATGCGATATTACATTGTAATATTGAAAATGTTACAATTATTCATATTTGCAAGCTGCTGGTATAATGATAAGGATTATAAAAGTAGTTTGAACCGAACAAAATCCTCGATGCAGCAGTCATGCGTATTCGCGGATGACTGCGCGGAATAATTAATTAGAAATAAATAATGTTAAACTATATAGCTATTTTTGTCCGCGCATCTTAATTATGGTTTGAATAATCAAAGATATAAATAGTGAATAAAATCGAGTTGCATCTCCCGCATCATATGTTTGCGGAATGTATTTTTACTTTATCTAACGGGAGAATCTACAGTTCTTCTACCAAGTTCTTCGCTCATGTATCTATTGTATCTCGTCAATTTCATCGGCCGAAAAATTTTCATCAGACAAGACGGAGATCTTTTTTCTCGCCGGTGTAGACATGCAAATATCCCGTCGCTGGCGCGGATTCGTCTCGTTTCCCTCAAGGCATCCGAACCTTTCCATGGACAGAACTTTTATGACGACGAGCGGCAGAGAATCCGGCATACAAGCACCCTGGTCGTTTACGAGCGGTTTAGCGGAAAATCCAGAGCGGAAATCTCGCGGTGGAGCCGCATGCGGTTGATGCGTAATGCATCCACCGCGAAACCCATAAATGCGCTTAACCGGTGTGTCGCGCGGATTTGGTCCTTGACTGGCTCGCGCGGCTTATGGGGAAACTTTTGTCCGGCGAGATACAAAATCCCTTATGCACATTCTTGTGCAGGTTCGTGGAAAACGCAAGATGATATCGTAATTATAGGGACGAGATTCTTCGTGGGGAAAGTGTTGTAAAGCGAAGCAAGTGAGTTTCTCCGAGAGATGAGACTGGAAAGGCGCAGGGAGCGTAATCTAATGAGAAAGCAATCTACCTCTCGTTTAAAAGAGAGATTTAAAGTATGCTAGGCGCGCTGTTTGCTTATACTTGTGCTATAGAGATAGAGGATCTTGTAATAATTATTTCTCAACATTCGCGAGTAACCGTATGCCCTTTTACAGAAGCGGTAGCTCTTTCTTTACTCGGTGTATATTTTTCATGCGAAATATTACGCGTTCGAATAAAAATTCTGCATTATTCATATCGTCTTTTTTAGGATGAATTTTCTATAGAACTCTGTTCAACTAACTCAATAGTCGCGCAAAGTTGAAATCAAAGCGGCGTGTTTGTATGTGAGAGAGCGAAATGACCGGATGTTCACAACGTGCACCGGAAGCTCGTTTTTCAGGTACAGAGAACTCAAGAAGTGAAACGACCCACGGCTCTCTTCGCCATTCCCCTTTATCTCCGTCAAATCCGTTGTTGCAATTGGGCGATGCATGGATCATGCGTCGTCTCATCGGCATGTCTCACGCACTCACGTGTACGCGAAAGGCGTCGCGACGCATCGAGGGAAGAAAAGAAGAGAAGAGAGAAAGAGCAAGGAAGGGCGGCACGCGAACCGAAGGGTGAGAAAGATGCGTGGGGATCTCCAATCTCAAGGGCAACACACGCACAGGCGCCGACGCACACATACGTATAAAGGCCGGCGTCGCGACGCTCTCGCTGTCATTCCCGCGCGCAGCACCCAAGTCGCGGTACCCGGCGTCGGACGTCGTCGTCGTCGTCATCGGTGACTCACGGAGGACACTCCACTCGTAGCGTACTCTCGCAATCACGAAACGTGATAACAAACGGGAGAATCGTGCGAACGAGAGTTTCATCTCCGCGAGAAACGCGACAGGAAGCTCCCCATCTTTCAGCGGCTTTGAAGAGATACCCGCGTACTCTTGTCTCCCCAACAGGACCTGCAGAAAATTGCGCCGATAGTTTCGCAGCAACAGGTGAGTAGTTTATCTCGAGATGCGCCTCTTTTTTGCGTGCTTCTTTTAAACGTGTCTTAATTTTTTTTCTCTCTTACTGAAAGATGTAATTACATCATCATAATTGTATATTTTCCCACGCGCGATAAAGTTTAGATTCTTCTTGCACTTGTAATTTAACATTAGAAAATGATCAATCCTGAATTTTTACTTGTCGGATGTCCGCGTCTTCTACTGTGTTACTCGATGATTGCAGTCAAGCTAAAGATGGGAAAACTTGTTTCGAGCGGTAATGCATTACAGATTCGATTGAGTGTTTACATTGATAGTAGATGGGGCAAAGTGAGTTTATCGAGTGCGATAAAGTTATCACAAATATGTATATATGATATCGTATATTATAGCAAAAACTTTCACTTATATGATAGCCGATTTGATAGCCGATGTAACAATAAAGAATATATCTAGGGAGATTAACATATATTTCATTTTTCTTTTTTTCTTTTTTTAATTTTTTATTGTGTAATAACAGATTTTTATCATGGTTTATTTTATCGTTTCTCTATATCGTGTCTTTCTATCTTTTATAAGCTGATTATATTTTTCAATTAGCTCAAAAATTTTGTATATGCAAGAGAATATTATTTAAATTAAAAATATGTTTGAATTTTATCAATAAAAAGATTTATTTATCCAATTTATTTTTTTTGATAATGAAAATACTTTGCCGCGATTATATTTATTTTAAGCAATAAAATTATTAATCTTTTAATTTGTAATAGTTTCATTACATAACTTGCACTAACATTAAATATTCTTAAATCTTTATGAGAAAGAGAGAGAGAGAGAGAGAGAGAGAGAGAGAGAGAGAAAAGAAAACGATTTTTTCCTTTATTCCACTTATTGCTTACAAGCATTTCTGTGAAGGTAGTAGCAACAGGTGAGTGAGTTTTAAGGACAAAGTTTCCGAAGTTCCTCTACATCTTCACTTCAGTTCATTAATTACGCTCATCTTTTACATCGCGCGTAAAATAATACCGTATTGTTTTTTTTACTCTTTTTTATTTATTCTTTTTTATTCATTCTTTTTTATTCTTTTTTCACGTAATAAATATAATAAAATAAATATTTGTAGAGTTTTCCGAGTATTATATTAATTAAGTTTACTTAAATTTATCAAAAAACTGTAAAAAATAAAAAAAAATGCGAAAGAAATGTAAAACATGTATTCATTTTAAGATCGAATTTCTAATTTAGTGTAGTTGTACCTAAGTACTAGCAAAATGAATGTAATAAAAAATTAAAAAACTAGCAATATGGAGCAGAACAGTTGCGCTTTTATTCTTATCATATATATATATTTTATTTTTCACACAACTCCGGCTTTAAATATTCTCTCGCAATTTATTATTTTTAGAAAATGCTATGTACAGTTTATATATATTTGGAGAAATATCCATTATACGATGTTGCGTACATGCTAGATTATAAGATAAAATTATGACGCAAAAAGATTTGAACAAAAGCTATTGTTAAAATTTTATCTAGACTTTTCTTACTATTTCTTATTTAATTTATAAAAATCATTAAGTTTATAGCGGTTACATCTTTTATTAATCTCATGGGTTTCGTTAAATTTCAAATTTACATGAGCAATTGCGTAGGTAAATTATCGTGGGTAGTATAAAAGATAACATTTGAAAGCACACATAAAGAAATGATTTCTAAATTTATATTTATTGTAGAATCCTCGTTCTTTTTATATTTTTATACACATTCTTGACAAAAATAACATATTATATGCTTTTTCTCTGGAAATCCTTTAATATTTCCTTTAATATTCTCTTAAATGTTACGAATTGCGAATATCTAGAAGAGAGGGTAATTATGTTTCTCTGTAAAAAAAAAAAAAAAATTTCTACAAAATTGCAATAATTTTTTTCAAATGCGCAAAACGACAAAAAATTGATTAAGATTTACGCTATCTTTGGGAAGTGCAAACAAAAAATTTTGCTAACGATCGGTCCTGGTCGGTTTTCAAGATCTATCCCGTAGTTACAATTATAGAATCATCGCGTATGAGACACGTGCATAAGCCATAAAAATTTCGATTGCACTCGATTATTAGAAGTCAATGCCATTTGCTATTAATTCCAGCTCTCACGAGAAAAACCGATCTCTCTGTTTCTTCGACCAATACAGCTGTTTGATATTGTTCTCAGAATTTCATGTTCCGACGATGACGAAAATTCATTTTCGGCATTTCAATGCGTATATCTTAACTGTCAAAATGAAATCTTTGATTAGATATTGACATTCGATGATAATAGAGAGCTCTTATGACAGAATCGAGAAATAAATTAGGTCGCTATTGCCATTAGCGTGCGACAGTATGAACGATCGTCGTATTCCTGAGAAAAGAATCGGCTAAATAACACGCGTGCCTGTCGCATAATGCGACAATGTTCCGAGGACACTTAAGAGATGAAGAAGAATGGAACTTTTTCTATTATATTATCGAATATTAAATTTGGAATCAATTCGCATCAAAATGTGAAGATACTTCATAAAATTGAAACATATGTTGGAGTGAAGAATTTGCGTCAAAGTTTCCTTTATTTTTCTTATAAAGAGACATGACGTTATTGATTATTTCATCTTAAATTTCATTTTTTTATAAGGGCGACTAGATTATTGAAAACATTGAATAAATCAGCGCATTACTTTATTAAAATATATTATATTGTTTTCTCTTCTTACGTACGCGTATTATTGAGAGAAACACAATGAAACAATAACACAATAGCGCTGAACCAATGAGACCTCGTAAGTTCTCATTATGTAGATAATTGCTTCGTTATCGTGATGAGTATATTAACCCTTAATAAGACTCTGGAGACACACAAGTTGTTGTCCACGAAGTATCGCAGCTCTATGAATAGCAAAGTATTTTTTTACCCCGATAAAATAATGAATTTTAAAAAGAAAGAAGATAAAACAAGACAATGTACAATTATTATCTTCAGACGATATGCAGCAAATAAAATGCTAATTATGACATGCAAATTGTAATTTCAATGAGAAAGAGAGAGGATCCTCTTTTCGCAGGTAGGGTAAGAATAGGGATCGTGCGGATTAGTTACGAAATTGATACTGAAAAAATGTTTATAGGCGAAGGAAATAATCTCGTGGACGGTGCGTGCGTTTAATGAGAACGTTTGAAGCGGGGGAGAAAGAACGTGAGTAAAATATCCGGGAAAAGGAGAGACAAAGAACGAGGAAACGCGCCGTTAGATGCAGGTTATTGGATGGCCGCGTTATTGTCGGACTTGTTTGCCGCTCATAAGTCGCTACTTACCTCGGCTATTTCGCGTGGCTTATTAGCTCGCCTCGGGCTTGCGTATTATTTTGTGCGAACGAAATCAGAAACCGCGCGCTAATCAGGTCGTCGCACGAGGGAACGATAAAATGCGTCTTTCCGTAAAGTTGTGTGCTTTAAGCATGACACTTTACGATCTTTGTCTACGAAGGGATGCTCCTTCGTTCCAGAGCGAATTGAATTAATGTGTTTAAACACGCGAGGTATTAAAAATTAAATTCTTTGTGCTGTGTTTGCCGACTGTCATTCGAAAAATGATATGCCACGGAGAATAAATGTTTCGATTGTCTTATTGCACATTTATTATCCTTTTTATTTTGTATTTCTTCACGCTATACTTTCGTAAAATTTGACATTTGTATTGTTATACTGTATTCGCGTGACTCTTGTATATTCTTGGAAATCTTTCAGAATTTATTTGTTGCTCATGCGCATGTGTTTTTCTACACAATATTGCTTGCAGGCTTCTTTGTAGACAATAAAGTTGCAAAGTAGAAGCGGGGAGGGGTGGAGAGGGGGAGGGGGTGGAGGAGGGGAGGGGAAAAAAGCCCTTAGGACAATCCCGGTTATATATAGAGAGCACAATATTCGCGCGCGCGAAAGAACAAAGTAACGTAAGTTATCTCGCCTCGCACCTATTTTCCTTATCGCGAGATTTACTCTACGCCGTAAGATCTTCTTCCGTTTGTTGCTCACGCGTCGCAAACGGCATCATCATAATTTCGTTTGCGCTGTCAATAGTGCTGCATCTGTAATTAAAGTCGCAACTCATGAGTCTTCGACGGTTTTCCTTGATGGGGCATTAAATGCCACGTTGTTTGTTATCCTGCATCCCGTTTACTTTCGCGTTTCTTTACACTACGTTAATTAGCAGCTTGCGGGGAAGAAGATTCGCAAGCTTTTATCGGAACGAATAGTCACGTGTATTTGATTTCCCTCGTTCGTGCTTCCTTTGATTTAAATAATAATGTACATAAAATTGACAAACTCTATTACTTGATGTATATCACGTTACTTGAAAGTAAGAGTATTGCCAGGAATAAACTCAAAATAATGCAATAAATAATGAAAATTGTACTTTTCTCTGTTTTATCTCGATTCAGCTCTCTATATTTTATGATTATATTCGACTAACAAGAAAATAATTACTTTTCTATGTAAAAAGACGTATAATGTATTCATGGCTTCGCTCATATTCGTAGCCGATATCATCTCATCGTAAAATTATTCCGCACGAGGCAAATCGCATCGACCTAGCCGTCGGCGATCAAGTGGTCGAAATCAGCGGTCGCATCCAGTGGGACATTTGACACACGTGTAACGCAAACCGATAAAAATGGAGATTGTCAGATATTTACAAAGTGATATTATGAAATGTCATTATTGTAAAAGTTTCGCGATAAATTACATTCGCGAGAAGCGCGATAAAGATGTACGTCATCGCGATTAATCAGCCCACTTTCGCGGACGTTCGTATCTGGTTGATCATATCTGGTATAATTATTTTCTGGCCAGCATGAAAGCCAAAAATACCTTAAGGGGAGCGAAGAGATGTGGAGAGAGAGAGAAAGAGAGAGGAAGAGAGAGAAAGAGAGAGAGAGAGAGAAAGATTTAATTTAGTTCCAATATATCTCTCTTCGCT